CCAGGGTGCTTTTGCTTCTCGTGCTGGGCGATCTCTTCCGTCCCTTAGCTTGGACGCATTTTGACTTCTTCGCCTACGCAGAAATCGTGTCATTAGATTTAGCTGTGGAAATGGTGAGGCACGCTATGTTCTCCGAGTCTGGCACGATACAATCCTCCTCTAGTTCAAGAATCAGCACAACGTAAAGGCACTTCCACGGCCGAGCTCCTAAACACTTTACCGTTGAAATTGCCTCCAACCCTTACTTTATATGCTTGAATACGGGTATATAGTAAACCGTCAAAACGACCGATCTGTATACTCCCAGGTTCTGTTGTTGATACAACGCGGTCGAAGGGGGCCTCTATGAAAGTGCTAATGCAGCAATGGTATTTGGGCCCCCAACAAGGCGTACAACACAATCACAGGGATCGCCGAGCACTCTTCTCGTCCCACGGACTATGAATCGGAAACAAAACATTTCAGCCCCGGCTGCGAATACAAGGAGACCACCATGGGCGTAGGTAGTTTGTTAGGTAGATGCTGGCCAAACTCGTCGAGTTCCCGACAACCTGGTTCACTAAATGCCAGGTGTGGTCAAGCAGGCGAAACCTAGCCCTAATCTGAAGCAGCTCATCACACCATCTGCAGCGATGTCCAGATCGATCGCGCCGGCTTTCGGTACTTTCCGTGGTAGTTCGGATTCGCCAAGGCATGCCTGAGTCGAGCAGTTGAGACGTCCAGATTGCAGCAGCTGCTTAGCTGCATCCCTCTCGATGCCCACCGAGATTGCGGTCCAAGATAGTTTCGAGGCCGGCACTCCTGAAATCTTTGGATGCGGTTCGTTTCAGTGGTTTGGGTGAGATGGGTCCGGGCTGCAGTATAGAGGAATGAGCGCAGTCACTGAACGCAGACCGTGTGGATATTGACTGCGGAGTCTTTGCCAATATGTCGTAGTCGAGGCGGTGAGGTCGTGATGGAAAAGAGCAAGAGCAAGAGTATCAACATTGTCGTCGGGCGTCACCGGGTTTAGCCTAGTTTCACGTCACTGATATCAATTTAGCTGTCGAGTCCGCCACGCGAATCGAACATGCGTCATGTAGACCCTCCGACACGCACCAGTTTGGTCCACTGCGGTCATGTGTCGCCATGGTGTTGTTCCGACTCTTGAACCTGCCAATTCGGCTGCTCTACCACATGGTCCAACTCAACATTAGCAAAGACAGAAAGAGACTTTACAGCCTCTGTCTCATCTCAAGGGCCCCTCTAGATGCGATTCAGCCAACCTTTTTAGCGACTTCAGTCTTTCCCAGCTTGAACCATGACCGGTGTTGGAGCCCCCAGAAAAGCATGATAAGCTGGACAACATTCCGTCACAGCCAAAATATCTCTAGTTCCTTTGGCATTGGCGATTGGAAGAAAGGGCGTCAAGAAGTCTTCCTCCGGTATCAGTCTTAATAGTTTAGCGCATTGCAGAATAAAACAATGCTCGACAGCATGTACGTCTCGCGAAATAGGGTCGATATGGTACGGTCCCAGTTATCTACGAAAAGAACAAATCTGTCTTTCCATCTTCCTACTTTCTCAAAGCACTTTCGATTTTCTGTTTGCTTTACCGCTACTTAAGTCTTTGACCCGCAGCAAGTTACTGGTACACACGTGCGCTCATTTTGATACACTACGTCTTGGACTACTCTCCAGCAATCCTTAATTACCTGACCGCTACCCAGCTGTATGCACTCCAGCCCGCGGCCGACAGAACGACGCCCAAGGACTCAGGCAAGACACATCAAAAGGCTCGACAGAATACGATGGGGTACCACAGCCCTATCCGTCATTCCGCACGCTCAATACAGAGATAATTGGAGTCTCCAATCTTCCCACCGTGAGCACCAGAACCGCCAAATTCCATCTACATATGCCATCGATGTCCCACTTGGTGCTGCAGCCTTCCCCAGGCCATAGTACCATGTCTAGGTACATGGCGAGCTTACTGCCCCTCGAACATGCATGGAGGTCATCACCAACATGCGGAGCTGTTGAAGAAATACTACTCCTTGGCCTTCACTTGAATAGCTGGCTACCATGAAACTGGCAATGGAACATGGCCGAAGGCCTGTTTAATATTACATGGAGAGGATAGAATCTCGCAGCTATCCACGTGCTGGCATATGATGCACTAGTATCGCGTGAATGGAATTGGTATGTTCTGATCTGAGGGAGCGTTATATGTAGTAAGTTGTATTCCGAACAAGAACCTGTGTAGAAGGAAGAGGTTGTCAAAGTTAAGTTGGTGAGGGCCCTAAAGGCAGACAGATCAGTTTGCTACAGGTGGAGAGAGTCGACTCAGTGTGTCGTTACACGAACTAGATTCAAAGAACAGAGACACGATAGAGCGGACGAGTGTTCACAGAGACAACAGGAGAGCTTGAATTAATTTCTTTTTTCATTTCGATAATGTTACATATTGATGCTCGGAAGCAGGCCGTACTGAAAGGCTCTTCGTAGCTCATTTAATTTCTCATCATCGACTGAATGACTCAATCTATGCCACCCAGACGGAAATCCCGAACTCCACATCCGCCTACCGAGAGAAGAAATATCTAATCGAAGGGGTTGGTGCGGGTTCCCCAGTAGGTGAGGAACAAACTGAGGCCGACAGTCTCAAGGATATGGCCGACGGCACCAACAGCGATCGTGTCAAGGGGACGCTTCTCAGTGACGACTTGGGAGACGATCTATGACGTAGTTAGTATTGCAAAATAACATGTAGTTGTAGAGTTTGGAGATGACGTACGGATGGTGCGGCGCTGGCGAAGAAGATGAGGGAGCCCAAGTACGCAGCGCCCTTGTAGGAGAGGGTGCCGGTGGCATTGATCAGAGCACCAACGCCATATGACTGGATGGCAGAGCCGAGTAGAGAGCTTCCCCACGAGGCGGCGGCGGTGGCGCCCTCCTTGGACTTGAAGAACTCCTCGCTGGAGCTGGCCCGCTGGGCACGGCGGTGGGCATCACCAAAGACGGGGCCGAGGACGGCGAGAGAGACGGCGTGGTTGAAGGCCGTGCCGAGGGCAATGGCCGAGGGCTTGACTGGGGGAAGGTCTGCAGACAATTGAATTAGCAATGGGTCTCTCTCGCACAATGCGGGTTTGCAGGTGTGCCTGAAGATCGGCGATGTTTTTCCGACTAGCTTCGACGGGCTGCAGGTGTCATCGAAGGGGAGAGCGGGGAGGGAGCTTACAGTGAAGAGACATTGCGATGATTTGTGATGGATTGATTGTGTTGGAGGATGAAAAGTGTCTTTTTGATGTGGCAAGGAGGTTGCAGAGTCAAGGAATGCAAGAGCTTTTGTACCTCCAGCGCCGCGCCAGTGTAGGTCAATGTCGTGACCTGCCTGTGACGTAGTAGTTGCTGCCAAGCCCCAGTCCAAATCATGTGCGCCCCTCTATGGGGACAAGCACACCCGCACGTCCTCGCACTTCCTTGGACGTGCGCGCGAATTTGCCATGATGGAACTGCAGAGAATTGCGTTTTCCCCCGCAAATAAAGCTGGATCCTCATGGCATTCTCTGACGTCATCCTTGTTTTCGATCCCATACATTAAGGCCCAAGCTCGCAAGCTCGGCTCATTTAATGAGGTGTATTCTTTGGGTTAGATCGCCTTGAGTACACATCGCAACTTCAGGCGTACGACGCAGCCAGTAGAACTCCCTCACCGTCGTCGTCGCACTGATCTAGGTCGCTGGAAATCGCTTGGGTACTCTATCTGTCAGCTGCAGGTCACTTCTCCCCTTACAGCGCAGTCGTTGTCTCGGCGCAGCGGCATCGCATGTCCATTTCCCCGCCGCCATGATCTTCCCGAAGCGGGCTACGGGCACCATAGTCCTGATTCTAATCTTCATCTCCTTCACGGCGCTCATCAAGTCCAGATTGAATCCCATTGTGTGGTTGACGTTGGCGTTTGTGCCCAAGCCAGCCGCTGTCGCGCCGTTTACGACACATATCGTTCTTTTCCAGTTCAAGGAGGGGACGAGTCCGATTACAATCAAAGAGGTAGGCCAGTGCAATGTTATGGAGAAGATAATATGCCTAATCTTGTTAGATGACCTCGAAGATGTTCTCCCTGAAGAAATCATGCATCCATCCAAGCACTAGATCGCCCTATATCATATCGATCGCCGGCGGAAAAGACATATCAACTGAAGACTCACAGGTACGTTCACAACTGCGTCAGCCGCCGTTGGAGTACATTGACTTATTCACTCTTAGAATGGCATTACTCACGCCTTCATACTCCAATTCTTCTCCAACGAAGACAGGGACTATTACGTCGACGAAGATCCGGTGCATCAGGATTTCAAGGCTGCCGCAGCCTCTGTGCTAGAGAAGGCGCAGGTGATAGATTTCCAGGACGGTGTTTTCACGACCTCAAATTAGAGCGAGTATGGTTTTCAAGCTGAGCGCTGTAAAGCTATCGAGTACATCTGAGAAGCGATGAGGACCTGTACATTATGAGAAGATAGCGATAAGATACCCAATGAAACATTCAAAGTACACTCTCAACCCCCTGGAGACTCCGTCCACATCTTTTTGTCGCTCTTTATCTTGTTGAGTTGGTTGGGGAGCCTTTGTAGCGGCGTACTTATTTGAACTGTTATTTGCTTTAGTCAAAGTCTCAATCAATACCGTACTTATGCTCTGCCTGCTTTTCGTCTGTCGGCGAAGAAGAATAATGGACATATCCTTTATCCATCTAACCAACACGCTCGTTGGATATTCAAGGCTTGGCATCTGTTCCCGGATTTCCGTTCCTGCCAATGAACCGAACGTTCCCCGCCAAGAACTCTAGAATTACTTAGCGCTCCTCGGTACCATTGCCAATCAGCCTTCAAGCAAACGGGCCGATCACAAATCCTTTCCACTTTCTCAATTTCGATTAAGCTACTGTATATATATTTAATAAGTTCAAAAACTCAGCATATCAACAGCAACCAATGCCACTGAGTTCATCGAACTCAACATCCTCCGTGGCGCAATTGGCTAGCGCGTCCGACTGTTAACTACTGGAGACGGTAATTTGTAATCGGGAGGTTCGTGGTTCGAGCCCACGCGGGGGAGTTTATTCTTTTTGCCATCATTTGCGATTTTCTTTTTATCTTGTTCTAAGCCACTGGTGGCTGCCACTCAAGATAATGTTTGAGGAAAGAGCGCGAACGCAGTGCGAAATGATTATTTTTGCGGGACCAACCACCACCAAAATGTTATAGCATCTACATTACCAACAACACATATCACGACGCAATGCGACTTGAAAATCCCGGATGGTGACTACATTCAATTAATGAGTGATTGCCACGAATTGGATAACGGCATTCTATCACGGCCGAACGACTTGTGAACTCGTTTGGTTCGCTACACATATCGAACATAGACCACAGACAAGCGCCAGCGGAATCCAGACCTAAAGTTACGAAAGTGGAAGTTTCCAAGCACTGACATGTTTGCAGTGTTTGTCCTAGACGATTGTCTGTTATGCATGCCGCATCTAGTCTATCACAAGACCGTAGAGCAGGCGTGCACCAGTACCCGATGCTCCATAGTTGTACCCAATGAAACGGCGAAGACATCGTAGAGGGTAAAAAACGGTATGAAAAGAAATAAACAAACGTATATTTCAACTGCTCCTAATCAACACCTACAAACCCCAGCCATCTTCCTCTCAAATTCTCCGTGTAAAAGCGAGACCGAGTACATATTTTCCCAAAGGTTGGCTTGAATTTCTCTTTCACATCAGCTCAGCTCGAAGATTGTCTCCCCATCCCCATCATCCTCTACCATGCTCCTCACGGTCCCTCCATCCATTAACCCATCCACAAAGCACTCTCCCACGAACCTATATCGGCCCTCTCCCTCCCCCTCCTTCCTCACCACGAACGGAACCTGAGCCCCCCAGAACACGACGATCAAATCCCCAGCCCTCGTCGCTCCTGGGCCTAGGCCCAGTCTTCCCTGTTGCGTAAAGAGAGCAGACCGATAGCACGTCACTTTGAACACCGCCTCTCTCGCGTTCCCCGCGTTCCCCTCTGCCGCGGCAAGCGCAGCGAGTGTATCTGCCTCAACGGGCCATGCGGAATACAGCAAGTCTTTATCGATGTCCTCGATGTAGGCGCAAAAGTCTGCCAGATGCTGATTTGGATCCGCAACCAGCGCTCCACTAGCCTGACGGCTAGCTGTGAGGACATTTGCGAGCATCGCCGCCGTAGCCCCATCTCCCTCTTGTCTTGTCTTAGAATCGCCACCTTTGCGTTCCAAGTACCATCTCACAACCCGCTTAATCTCATCCGCCACCTCATATATATTCTTGTACGGCACCGGCGCTAGAGCTTCCTCCACCGTATCTAGCACCACGCCTCTGACCGAAAGAACCCCCTGATTCTCCGTAGGCAAGACCTGCATCTCTCTCGCTGTCCCCGCCTTATGCCTGCTCTTCGGGCCCAAGCCCGCGAACGGATAGACAATCGTCTTACTACTCCAATCCGGAACCCAAGACGGCATGTCCCCATCACTGCCGGCGCCGGCACCAGTATGCGTCGCAAAAGACAGCACATCCAGATTCCCACCCTGAGCGACCAACCTCCGCGCCACATCAGTATAAATCTCGCCCAGCGAGCTCTCATAGCACGGCTCGACGAACAGGGCCCTCCGACTCGGGACCCCTTGTCCAATCTTCGTAGGAAACCCAAGCAGTCCGTACACCTTATCCTTGGGCTCGGTAACATCAAAGCTCCGTGCCAGATCCAGCAGATGCAAGAACGGAAACCCCACACCCCTATCCAATCCCCCGGCCCGAACCCCGTACAAGTGGTGCATGAAGAAGGCATTCTGCAGCTGCCGACTCTCAAGCGTAGCGTGCAGGTGCGGGTCCGCCCGTATCACATCGATGGCCGCACCGAGGACGTCCCAGGATAGCGACGCGTCGCCCCAGAGGAAAGTAGCGCAGCGCGCGAGGACGATTTCCTGCAGCACCCACATGCGCAGGAACCAGGTATTGACGAAGAGCGACATGACAGGGAGCCAGGCCTTCGAGCCGCGGGGCGGGGGAGCATCGACGCCGACGTTGGACTGCAGGATCTGAGGCTTCTTGTCTTGGGTGTGGGCTTGGGTGTTGGCGCCGACGACAGCGCGGAGGATGGAAAAGGCTTTGTATGCCTCGTTGTGGCCATCTGTCCCCAACCAGACCAGCACACCTGCGGCTCTTGTATAAATGCTCGACATCAAGCCCACCTGGTGCCCCTTCTCCCTCTGGTCGCCCTGGTCAATACACAGAGCGTCGACCCAAACCAATTTCTTCCCCCCGCCCAACCCCAATCCTCTCTTCCCCCTCAATCTCTCCAGCGCGTCGAACAGATTCGTGTTCACCTTCTGGCTGAATCCATTGAGCGAGATCTCCTTCTGTCCTTCTTTCAGCCCCCAGACGTAGGACAGTGCTTCGTACGAGGGCAGACTGTCGTCCAGCCGCGCGAGCTTGAGCGTGCATTTGATGAGCTGGCTAGGTTTTCCGTGGTGGATTCGGAGGAGGCGGATGGAGTTTGGGTGGGGGAGGGGCGTGTATAGGGGTTGAGACTTGGCGGGGAGGCAGGGTTTCAGGTAGCTACAGATGGTACGAGGTTTGGACGGAGTGCTGGGCGTGTGTTTCTCCGTGGTAGCGGTGTGCGTCATTGTCGCGACGGGGGAGGGTGAACTGAACGAAAGGCGGCGAGTCTTGTCCTAAGATGCGGCTCGTTGGTGGGAAGCCTATGTTGCCCTATTCCGGTCTGTGAATGTATTATACATATAAACTCAAAACTCTACCAAGCAGGACTTCAGCAGAAAACATGAAAAGAGGTACGAACGACAAAAGCTCCGCTGCCCACCTGCACCCTTTAATCTCCTCTCCATCCTGCGCACACCCGCGCGCAGCTCAACCATTTCCCAAAGCAGCTGTTCTCGGGACCAAACTTTGTTTGTCTGTCTCGGGTGCACAAAAGGGCACGTCGGCGTACCCCATGGTGACACAAAATGAGGCTATGGTAGGCAGAAGCCAATCGCTACACAGGCGGGCTGGCAATCCTGGTCATGAGGCCTTATTTTCATGTGGGATATCGAACAGCTTGAGTACCTTTTTTCAGCCTCAGCCTTGTCTTGGTGCGAGTCACAGTTGAGAGATTAACGAGCAGATACCTTTTCAGCTTCAGCCTCAGCCTTGAGTTGTTACACCTACCACCCCAGAAATCCAATTGAGCGATTATCGAAGAGCCTCAAGTCTGCGTGCTGGCGGTCAGTCGTTTCAAGGAAGTGGAGAGGCTCAGATACGAGTGAAGCAAAAATCTCGGCCGAAGCCGATCTTGTAGAGTAAGAGAATTTCCAATGTCATTCGTCGTCCCACGAGTCCCAAGCGTTGTATTGTACCGTTCCAATTCCAATCCCGTTGATCTTCCCCAAGAGTATTGCCATACGCGCCCAATAAGAATGATGTCTCAGTAGAGAGTGAACAATGCAAATGGGAGTATACAAAAATGACTAGGCACCTCAACCGTGAAACGCCGCGCACAAAATGCCCAAAAACCTCATGTGTAAGTGAAAAAATATAACAGACAAACCACAAGAACACGAACAAGAAATCTCAAAGCAAAATTCTAAAAAAAATGAATCATCCTATTCCAACTTCCAGGAACGAGAAATTGAAGCCTTATTCAGAAGAGCTTCCAGGGCCAGAGGCCGAAGACCCAGCGCTAGATGATCTAGTCAACTCTTCATCCTCCATCCCACTTTCCATCTCTTCTGCAATCTCCTCATACCACTTGCCGTGCGCCCTCCTGTCGACCTCGCTCACCTTTCCAAGCTGCTCAACGATCTCACCCACTTGATTGACGAACTCCGGGAGGCCTGTTGTGGCAAGACCTTCCGTAGCGGTGCTTGCAGCCTTGACCCTCTCGCCGGAACTGCTAGCTGAGACGCGGCTGAAGATGTGGGTCTTCAATCGTTGGAACAGGACTTTCATGACAGGATCAGAAAGCTTGCCTGATTCGGCTTGGGTGAGGAGGCGAGTGATTGTAGATGCTAGCTGGGCACGAGTCGACGGCGGCATGGCGTGCGAGGACTCCAATAAGGAAGCGATTTTGGCGGGCGTTGCCGGGTCCTTGAGATAACCGTCCTTGAGCGTTTCCCACATACGAACAGCCTCAGCCTTCCATTGTGAGCGTACATCCCGCTTGAGAAGATTCTTAGCGGTCAGTAAGATACCGCCAATTGCGGTAATTCGAAGCGCGTCTTCCCGAATGCGGGAGATCCGGGCGCGGTCGAGCTCGAGAGTTTCGGGGAGCTCCGAGTCTCTCAGAGGAGGCATAGCTATCGCAAGGTCGACAAGGCCGCGAGCATATATCTTCTGGGGCGTAGGGCGATTCACCGGATTCGGGTCGCTCCATGGGTCGCGGCGGTCGGCTTCCGTGTGCATGTTTACGGCTGCGCTGCGCCACCAGCGTCTCGTTCTTTCGAGCGTGATCGTTCCAGCCTCTAGATCCTGAGCGAATATCCGCTGCTCATAGCCAGATGCCTCCTTGATGAGAGTCGGCGCCGAGTTCATCAAGAGGAAGTTGGAGTAGTCCAATGAAAGAAGGTCAATGACATGTAGGAGCTTGAATAGCTTCTCAATCATCTCTGGGAGGGCCCCTTCTTCTTGAAGCTCGTCTGCTAGAGCCTTGACTTCTGTGTCGCGGAAGGGCGCACAAAGCTTTGGAAGAATGCCAGCAATGAAGGCAAAGAACCTCTCGTACGAGAACGTACCCTGACTGCATTGCCTGTCGATGAGATCCTGGTCCAACGACTCGGAGATGAGGCTGTGCATCGAGTTACCAGGCTTCAGTAAACGAAGAAGTTTGCTTCGTATATTTTCAGCCATTGAAGCCGTCCACATGGCGCCTTCTCCGTTCTCAAATCCTTTGCGCATTGCATCACAAAGCTCCCGATTAAGAGCATCTCTCAAGCCGGCAGTCGGAGAAGGGTCAATACGATATTCCTTGTCAATGGACAGCTCATGTACCAAAACTCTATTTCCAGGGACCGCAGTGAAAACCTTGGAC